TATATATATATATATATATATAAAAGAATTTTCAGTAGTATTTTTAAAATTCATTTGAAATTTTTATGACAATTGATAAATTAAAAAAAATAAATGTAACATGAAAAATCACTACTTACAATTATTGGTTCTGCAAAATTTTATATATTATAATCAATTTATATGATAAATATATGATTTTTAAATTATTAGATTTCTAAAGTTATTTATTATATTTGAAAAATTACAGATAAAATAAATATTTTATAGATTTTTATAAAAAGAATTATTTACAAAATTATATCAATTTGTATAAATCCTTAACTTCATATTTATTTTATACAAACTTTGTTGTACCTGTATATAATTTATTACATAAAAATAACTATATTGTTTCCATTTATAATATTATATTTTTATTATATTGTATTGTATTAATTTCAAAACGTGTAAATGATTGTAGAATAATATTAATGTCAAAAATAATTATTTAATTTTTTTTACAAAATTATTAAAAAATTTTTTTTTTAAGTTTTGAATAAACATAAAATTATAAACTGTTTCTTTGAAACTATTACAAATATTAATTTGCTTTCTTTTTTAATTAAATAGAATAATTAAATATATTTGATAGTAAAAATTTAGATAATATAAAGATTCCTAGGACAATAAACATAATCAAATTTTTTTTGAAGTAGAATTTTTTATTTGGATAATTGATATTAAACTTAGTAATAATCTAATTAAAGAATTATAATTATTTGCATATATCATTTGCAATCTTTTTTCTAATATGATTTTATTCAAAATAATAATTTAAGAAAAAAGCAAATCAATATTTACGATGGTTTTAAATGAACACAGTTTGTAACATCTTATATAGCATTGTCTATATATTAATAATTTATATATTAATAGGTAAAAATATCAAATATTGCAAATTTTATACAATTTATGATATAGCAATAAAATCATTTTTTAATCAATTTTTAATTTTTTAATTTTTATTATTGAAACAAGAAATTTTTTAATTTTTTAAATGATTTTTTATTTACTATTATTAAATTTCTAAATTGTATTTTCTTAAATAAATAAATTAAAAACATAATCTGAATACTGTGAATATTTATATATATGTATATATATATATATATACATACATACATTTATATTCTCTTTTTTGAATATTCTAAATCTTATTACTAGTTAATTTAAACACATGTATATGTCATATAATATACATTATAATTAAGATATTTTATGACAATGACATATGAATTTGTTTCAACTTACAGGTACAAAAAGTGCATATGAATATTCTTTTAAATATATTGGAAAAAGATTTTAATACTTTTTTATACTGTGATTGGTTCCTTATTTACATCATGTTTGTACTCCTTATTAACAACATAAAATTTATACTTTTTTCCAAATAATCCCCATATAACGGCAACATTTTCAATGATCAAATTGAAAGGAATTGTTGATAATGCTCCACATATACATAGTATAAATCGAGCAATACCAAATCGAGATAATGAAAAAGATTTAACTACACCAAAAATATACATATAAATATTTACTGCACCAACAAAAGCACATAAAAAATCCATAAGTGGAGGGCAAGTAATAGGATAAATTCCAGCTAATATAATATTTGAAGTAGAAAGAGGCATTGTTACCCATGAGTAACAAGATATACCTAGGAGCAACTTTTTATTTAAGGGAATAGCTTTGGAATGTACAACAAGTAATATACCTTGTATCCATCTTTTTCTTTGTTGTATGAAGTCCCATAATGTAAATGGTGATTTTTCCCACATTTCACCATCTATAAAATTAAATGAATACCCTTGGGTAAATGCTTTCATTGCAAAAAAACAATCTTCTGCAATGGATCCATCTAATCCATTGTTAAAAGAAACTTGTTTTTCTGCACCCATCTGTAATAATGAAATTATTTCTATAATATTATATAACATGATTATAACTAAGAATATAAATCATATATATAATTCATATATATAACAATTACTTGACTGACAACATAAGAACCTTTCATACTAAAGAAAGGTTTATGAAACATTGTAAATTGTAGTCGTAGTTTTCCCATATCATCTGCTACTCTAAAACTGTCTGCTAAAGTAGTAATCCAATTAACAACATCTTCATTTGCATATGTTATTAATCCTTGTCCAAATTGATGCTTTCCATCCAATACAAAATTTAATATTCCACGAATGGAATTTTCAGTAAGTAAAGTTTCTTCATCAAGATGTACAATCCAATCATTATCTGCTAATTCATTTACTGAATGTTCTAAACAATATTGTAAAGCACGAGCTTTAAATAAAGCACCACTACTTGTACGGTAATTTGGTGGTACTATAACTTCTCTAATT